AATGCATTTCACATACATTTTGTCCCGAGTGCTTTGTCCTGCGCCCTGCCTGCATTTTTACTGTTCTTTCTGCCTGGAAACGTAGAAAAGTCCATGGCGTCTAAAAAGCATCCCTTTATGTCAAAAGCGGTTTAGAACAGCGATAGTAAATCAGAACCACTTGCAGAATTGAGTGATAATGATTTGTGAGGAAATTCGTCATCAGACACCGAAAACGATTTTGCGACTTTGCTCAGCAATGTGCGAATTTGCCTCTGTATTTCAAATTTCAGTGTTTTTGGTTTGATTATATTATTGAATTAAATTTATTATTATTATATTATTATTTTTTATGATTATTTATTAAATTATAATTTATGATTTCGTGTTTCAAATTTTATCATATCCGGGATGTTTACTAGACTCTTGTTCGGACAGATTTCAGTGAGTTATTCCTAAAAATTACAGCCTACAATAAAAAACTACATATTTCCATGCAAAATAATGGTACCGCTTTCAGCACAAAAAATCGGAAATAATCATACCGCCGAGGAGGTTAAAGCACCAAGAAAGCGACATGGGGTATAATTTTTGAGGCAAAAGGGCTGGGCAGCCTCTGCAAGGGGGCATTTTTACTTTTCCCAGAGTTCAGCTTTAAAGTATACTTCAATAGGTGAGCAAAGAAAGAAACTACAAGTCTCAGCAGTGCTAAACGACAGGATGAAATGGATCTGCTGTTTCCAAACACTAGGCACACCACCTATCACTACTATGGAATGTCACATCCTTTAAACGGACTAGAACAGTATTGCTTTGTTGTAGAAGTTGGGAGGATTGCTGAAGGCATTAGGATTGCACCTGGTGTTCGGGAAATGACAAAATGCTGCCAGAAGGCTATAAGAAGTGCAGTTAGGAGGTTTACCTTTCTGTTTCTTCATATCTTTAAGCAAATATTTTAGTGTTGAGCATGCAGTTGTTTCTGAAATGGGTGGGGGTTTATTAACACTTATAATCTGTTAGTCTATTTTAACCACATCCAGTCAGGATACTTTCACCCCCTTCCTGCCCAGGCCAATTTTCAGCTTTCAGCGCTATCACACTTTGAATGACAACTGCGCAGTCATGCAACACTGTACCCGTATGAATTTTTAGCATTTTTTCGAGACAGGTAAAACTTTATTTTGGTGGTATTTATTCACCACTGGAATTTTTTTTATATATATTTAAATGAAAAAGTCCAAAAATTTTGAAAAAAAGTGTTTTTCTTATAAAATTTTACAAATAAATAATCTTTCTTTATAAATCTTGGCCAAAATGTATTCAGTTATCTTTTTAGCAAAAAAATAAAAAAAATAACCCAAATTGGTTTATACCCAAAAATTATAATTAAAAACATTTTTCTTATATATATTTCTTTTTATATTATTTTGTATGGGTTTTTTTTCAAAAATTGTAATTAAAAAAAAATATATTTTTATTTTTTTTATATTATTATTATTTGTTTTTTGTTTTTTTACATACTGTCACCCTAGCAGTACAGTGTCACCATAGTGACCATAGTGACATTGTACTACTCGTGGGGGGTGATGAAGTTTTTTTTTTTTACATTTTTATTTTTATTTTTTTACATTTGTTTTTTTTTCTACATACTGTCACCCTAGCAGTACAGTGTCACCATGGTGAAGATTATTTTTTTTGAACACTGATTGCTTTTACACCCATGAAGGCTGCAAAAGCAATAATTTCTGCTACTTCCTGGCTGCATTCTTTCAGCCATTGAGAAATACTGTGTGAGCTGTGATTGGTCACAGCTTGTCACATGGTACAAGGCTGTTGTGAATATCCTTGTACCATGTGACCTCTGTGATCATTCACAGATTTCACACGTAGTAAGCAATGATGTCACAAGTGACATCTTGCTTACTACTCTGCATGTGATCACTGATTGGCCAATCAGTGATCACATGATCGGGACCTCACACAGAGGTTCCGTACAACGATCGGTGTTCCACTGTGTCCGGAATACACAGCAGGCACCAGATCGCAGTGCTACGCGCTCCCAGGAGCGCGCGCACAAGCAGGGGACTGGGAGGCCATTTATAAACAGCCACCTGCCCCTCCATTGCTCCCATCCGGCCATTTATATACATGGGCCGGACAGGAAGTGGTTAAATTATATCTAAACCCAAAAACAAAAATGTAATATATCCAGCTTACCAATCCTTATATGTGAGAGCTGCATACGTTTTCTCTTCTAAGGCTTATTTCCTCTATTTTCACCTGATGATCCTGCCAGAAAGCTGGCCATACACAGACTGAAAGTCAGCCACTTCAGCAGAGACCAATCGAATTTCGATCTGTGTATGGGCAGAGTGGTTGTATAGAAGTCGATCTACATGATTGACTTGTGTACAACCAGCCTGTAGGATTTTCTCCACTCGATCGATTAGTGCCACCAATTATAGCAGGCAGAGCTGATCAGTGTATTCTGATGGCAGAAAAGTTACCCCACTGTCACAATACAATACCTCAGCAGGGAGGAATCCCCAATCCACCTCGAATGTGTGGATGGGGGAATCAAGTCCATTTTTTTTTTGTTCAACCCGCTGCTTGAAAAAAAAGACTAGTCTATGGGCTGCTTAACCACTAACCAAATACGTATATTTACATGGCGGCTTTCAAGTGTTATACCAGGATGATGTCTGCAGCTACAGGCATCATCCCGGTGTTGTTTTTTTTCAGTGGACAATTCTCTTTTTTGTAAAAGCCATCCTAGCAGCTAATTAGCCACTGGATTGCTTCTACAGCCGCCTGGAGGGGTCGTCCCCACCTATCGCTGCCCCCTGGTGCCCTTCGGGCTTTACCGTCCCACCGGCAAGTCCGGAGTGAAGCTGGAGGTTTCGCCTTTTGCCGAAGAGCTGATCAGGGACCAGAATGTCCCCAATCATCTCTATGCTATACAAAACTTGAAGCGATGGAGTATTTAGTCACTTCCAGTTTCGTACGTTTGTTTACCAGAATTTACTGGCAAACAAAAGTTTTGGATCGAACCGATATGAGTTTGATTCAAAGCTTTCAACGGCATAGGAAAGATCTGGGGTCCAACAGACCCCAGATGTCTAAGTAAAGAGAACCTGCCTATGCTTACTCTTATCATAAGGGATGTTTACAGAAAAAAAAAATGTAAATGACAGGATGAAAATTTTATTAAGTAAATCAAAATAATTTAACCACTAGCCTACAGGGCACTTCTACCCCCTTCCTGCCCAGGCCAATTTCCAGCTTTCAGCGCTGTCACACTTTGAATGACAATTGCGTGGTCATGCAACACTGTACCCATATGAAATTTTTATCATTTTTTTTGAGACAGATAGAGCTTTCTTTTGGTGGTATTTAACCTCCTTAGCGGTGTTCCCGAGTGTAGCTCGGGGTAAAATTTCTATACCAAAAGCGGTAACCCCGAGCTACACTTGGGCTTACCATGCGGCGTTCTCTGGGGGTCCCCCTGCAGCACTTACCTTGTCCTTCACTCCCGCGATCTGTCCCCTCCAGCATCCCCGGCCATCTCCTCCGGCCGATGCCGGCATCCGGCTTCTGTGTTCCGGTCCCTGTGATGTCGGAACGTACGGGCGCCGGAACCGGCGGGAAATTTGAATTTTTTAAAAAATGTCATTTTGCTGTCATTGCTTTTTCAATGCATTTCACATACATTTTGTCCCGAGTGCTTTGTCCTGTGCCCTGCCTGCATTTTGACTGTTCTTTCTGCCTGGAAACTTCGAAAAGTCCATGGCGTCCAAAAAGCATCCCTTTACGTCAAAAGCGGTTTTAGAACAGCGATAGTAAACCAGAACCACTTGCAGAATTGAGTGATAATGATTTGTGGGGAAATTCGTCATCAGACACTGAAAACAATTTTGCGACTTTGCTCAGTGATGTGCGAATTTGCCTCTGTATTTCAAATTTCAGTGTTTTTGGTTTGATTATATTATTGAATTAAATTTTTATTATTATATTATTATTTTTTATGATTATTTATTAAATTATAATTTATGATTTCGTGTTTCAAATTTTATCATATGCGGAATGTTTAATAGACTATTGTTGGGACAGATTTCAGTGATTTATTCTTAAAAATTACAGCCTACAATAAAAAACTACATATTTCCATGCAAAAAAATGGTACCTCTTTCAGCACAAAAAAAACAGAAAGAATCAGACCGCCGGGGAGGTTAATCACCTCTGGGATTTTTATTTTTTCTTAAACAAACCAAAAACCACAGAAAATTTTGGAAAAAAAAAAACGTTTTTTCTTAGTTTTTGTTATACAATTTTGTAAATAATTGATTTTTCTCCTTCACTGATGTGCGCTAATGAGGCTGCAGTGATGGGCACTGATAGGTGGCACTGATGGGCACTGATGAGGAGGCACTGATGGGCATTGACAGGCATCACTGATGCATGAAAGGCGGCACTGAAAGGCGGCACTGAAAGGCGGCACTGATAGGCGGCACTGATAGGCGGCACTGATGGGCGGCACTGATGGGCGGCACTGATGGGCGGCACTGATGGGCGGCACTGATGGGCGACATTGAAAGGAAGCTCAGATGGGCACTGATAGGCGGCACTGATGGGTGACATTGAAAGGAAGCTCAGATGGGCACTGATATGTGGCATTGATGTGCACTGGTATGCACTGATAGGCGGCACTGATAGGCGGCACTGATAGGCGGCACTGATGGGTGACATTGAAAGGAAGCTCAGATGGGCACTGATATGTGGCATTGATGTGCACTGGTATGCACTGATAGGCGGCACTGATAGGCGGCACTGATAGGCGGCACTGATGGGCGACATTGAAAGGAAGCTCAGATGGGCACTGATAGGCGGCACTGATGGGTGACATTGAAAGGAAGCTCAGATGGGCACTGATATGTGGCATTGATGTGCACTGGTATGCACTGATAGGCGGCACTGATAGGCGGCACTGATAGGCGGCACTGATGGGTGACATTGAAAGGAAGCTCAGATGGGCACTGATATGTGGCATTGATGTGCACTGATAGGCGGCACTGATAGGCGGCACTGATAGGCGATATTGAAAGGAAGCTCAGATGGGCACTGATAGGCGGCACTGATGGGTGACATTGAAAGGAAGCTCAGATGGGCACTGATATGTGGCATTGATGTGCACTGGTATGCACTGATATGTGGCACTGATACGCGGCACTGGCACGTGGCACTGATGAGTACTGACAGGTGGCACTTCTGGGGCCACACTGATCATCAGGGCACACTGATCATCAGTGCCCTGATGATCAGTGTACATGTCCCCTCCGCGGAATGCTGATTACCGACTCTCCTCTGTCAGCGTGACAGCTTGAGAGGAGAGAAATGCAGATAACCGGCATTTCCATGTTTACATGTGATCAGCTGTGATTGGACACAGCTGATCACATGACCGAGCCAACATCTTCGGCTCTTTCCGTGATCCGCTGTGTCCGAGGGACACAGCGCACCGGTGATCGCCGCGCTGCGCGCTCCCTGAGCCGTGTATGCGCAGTGAGAATGGTAGAACGTCATATGACGTCCTATCAGAAAGAGAGAACCACCTTGCGCCCGTCATTGTACTACAGGGCGGGTGGAAGGTGGATTAAAGCACCCCCACCCAAAGGCAAACGTATACGTTGGTCGCATATGTAAAACGATGTTCACACTACACATGTGAGGTATCGAACGTTATAGCAAGAGCAATAATTCTAGCAGCAGGCCTCCTGTGTAACTCAAAAGTGATAACTTGTAAAGGATTTTAAAGCGTCGCCTATGGAGATTTTTAAGTACCGTAGTTTGTTGCCATTCATTGAGTGTGCGCAATTTTAAAGCATGACATGTTAGTGATCTATTTAATTTTATTTTTTACCAAACAATTGGTTATTATATTGTGATTTTGTGCAATTAAATAAATTAAAATGTATATTTTTTTTTAAAAAAATTGCATTTTAAAAACAGCTGCGCAAATACCGTGTGACATTAAAAAAAAACGCCCACCATTTTATTCTATAGGGCCTCTGCTAAAAAAAAAAAAGTGTGTATATAATATTTTGGGGTTCTAAGTAATTTTCTAGCAAAACATACTGATTTTTGAACATAAACATAAAGTGTTAGAGTTGGCCTGGTCTAAAAGTGGTTACATTATTTCCAGTCCTAGGGTAAAAACACTCACTGTACTTTAACCACTTCCCATCTGGCCCACGTATATAAACGGCCGGACGGGAGCAGTGCAGGAGCGGGTTCCCGCTGTGTTGGCCAATCAGTGATCACGTGAATAGTAGTAAGCAAGATGTCACTTCTGATTCAATGTAAACATCCCGGGTATGTTAAAATTTGAAAAACACGAAATCATAAATTATAATTGAATTAATAATCATAAAAAATAATAATATAATAATACATTTTATTCAATAATGTAATCAAACCAAAAACACTGACATTTGAAATATAGCGCCAAGTTCGCACATCACTGAGCAAAGTCGCAAAATCGTTTTCAGTGTCTGATGACGAATTTCCCCCACGAATCATTATCACTCAATTCTGCAAGTGGTTCTGATTTACTATCGCTGTTCTCTAACCGGTCTAAAACCGCTTTTGACCTAAAGGGACGCTTTTTGGACGCCATGGACATTTCTCAGTTTCCAGGCAGAAAGAACAGTAAAAATGCAGGCAGGGCACGGACAAAGCACTCGGGACAAAATATATGTGAAATGGTTTGATACAGGAATGTTATACTATGTGATTTTAGTGTATTTAGCGAATGTCACTTTTTGATATTTTTAAATTTCCCACCAGTTCTGTCCCCCATACGTCCCGACGTCACAGGGAACGGAACCCAGAAGACGGATGCCGGCATCGGCCGGAGGAGATGACCGGAGACGCTGCAGGGGGGACATTGCGGGAGGACAAGGTAAGTGAAGAAGAGATCCCAGAGCAACGTTGCAGGGTATTCCTGAGTGTAGCTCGGGGTTACCGCTTTTGGTGCTGAAACTTTACCCCGAGCTACACTCGGGAATACTGCCAGGGGGGTTAAGCATCATATATTGGAGGCAAACTGAGAATCCTTTATACTTGGCCATCACCGAAGAATTGCTGAAGGGGAGATATGGAGATATCACTGTGAGAGGGTGGTCACCTTTAAGACCAAAAATCTGGTGAGTGAATAATCTACACTTTATTGCTGTGGGCACGTGGTGAAGATTTCAGTCACAATTTTATCTCTGCTTTGGTTTGGGACACAGATAGAAGCCACAAGGATTTTCACTATATTTATGGACATTTTTTTCACAATTTTGCACCTACAGTATCTCACAGAAGTGAGTCCACCCCTCACATTTGTGTAAATATTTTATTCTATCTTTTCATGTGACAACACTGAAGAAATGATACTTTGCTACAATGTGACGTAGTGAGTGTACAGCTTGTATAACATGTACATTTGTTGTCCCTTCAAAATAACTCAACACACAGCCATTAATGTCTAAACCGCTGGCAACAAAAGTGAGTCCACCCCTAAGTGACATTGTCCAAGTTGGGCCCAAAGTGTCAATATTTTGTGTGGCCACCATTATTTTCCAGCACTGCCTTAACCCTCTTGGGCGTGGAGTTCACCAGAGCTTCACAGGTTGCCACTGGAGTCCTCTTCCACTCCTCCATGACTACATCACGGAGCTGGTGGATGTTAGAGATCATGCGCTCCTCCACCTTCCACTTGAGATGCCCCACAGATGCTCAATAGGGTTTAGGTCTGGAGACATGCTTGGCCAGTCCATCACCTTTACCTTCAGCTTCTTTAGCAAGGCAGTGGTCATCTTGGAGGTGTGTTTGGGGTCGGTATCATGTTGGAATACTGCCTTTGAAGGGAGGGGATCATGCTCTGCTTCAGTATGTCACAGTACATGTTGGCATTCATGGTTCCCTCAATGAACTGTACCTCCCCAGTGCCGGCAGCACTCATGCAGCCCCAGACCATAACACTCCCACCACCATGCTTGACAGGCAAGACACACTTGTCTTTGTACTCCTCACCTGGTTGCGCCACACATGTCTGACACCATCTGAACCAAATCAGTTTATCTTGGTCTCATCAGACCACAGGACATGGTTCCAGAAATCCATGTCCTTAGTCTGCTTGTCTTCAGCAAACTGTTTGTGGGCTTTCTTGTGCATCATCTTTAGAAGAGGCTTCCTTCTGGAATGACAGCCATGAAGACCAATTTGATGCAGTGTGCGGCGTATGGTCTGAGCATTGACAGGCTGACCCCCCACCCCTTCAACCTCTGCTCCCCACTCTTGGGGTCATTGAGAGGAATTCTGCCCAATCATTCGTGTCACTGAGCCCCATTGCTGGTGTCCTTGTGAGAAATTTTGCCTCATTGTTTGTGTCATTGGAAAGAATTGTGCCCCATCATTGGGACCTATTGTTGGTGTCATTGTGCGGAATTATGCCCCATTGTTGGTGTCATTGAGAGGAATTGTGCCCCATCATTGGGCCTCATTGTTTGTGTCATTGAGAGGAATTGTGCCATAATGTTGGTGTCATTGTGAGGAATTGTGCCCTATTGTTTGGAGACCATTGGACTATGGGATTTGTAGTGCTCATAGAGAAGTGTACATGACTACAACTAGCATGCACTACATGCTCCAAACAGAAGTGAGGGAGAAAAGAAGAGGCTTTGGAGCTCACAGAAGATGTTACAAGGAGGCAGAAAAACACAATACAAACAATTTAATGAAAAATAGATGGACAGGATGATTAAGTAACAGATATTTATGAAATAATTTTGGAAACTAAGGATATTGTTTAGTGTAATTTTAACTGTGACTGTGGTATAAACTCAGTATAAATAGTAAAAAATAGTGTAGCGCTCCTGTGATTAATAAAAATAATTACATATAAACCACGTGATTTGGTGGCGTAACGCGTAGGGGAGGGGCTCTGACGTCATCACGTTTGTCGGCTATTCACGGCGAGTATAGGAAGTGTGCAGAGCACACACAAAGGCTCATACTTAACCAAAAGGCGCAATTTAATTTTTGAATATTGTGAGTGGTATTACACAGCTTATTTAAATAAAATACTTAAAAGGATAAGGCGCTATGTTTTTTCTTCTTTCCTGATATTACTTGTGGAGTACTGGAGGGGATACAAGGAGGAATTAGACCCCTGGAGGTGAGAAGGAGGAATCCATCCATCCATAACCAACACATAGATCAGTGCATTGGAGAGACACCAGGTGGAAATATAAGATTATTACAACGCTATATCATTCGAGAAGGATTTCTGGCGCAGGAGTATTTCATCTGTTCATATAGAACAAAAAGCTATTTTAGCCTAAAATTTATTAGGCTGAAAAGGAGGTGAGTGCATAGAAAGAGCATTATTGATCCACCCATTATAGCAGGTCCTTTATAATAACAGTTAACCTCCCTAACGGTATAATTATTTCAGATTTTTTGTGCTGAAAGCGGTACCATTATTTTGCATGGAAATATGTCGTTTTTTTATTGTAGGCTGTAATATTTAGGAATAACTCACTGAAATCTGTCCGAACAAGAGTCTAGTAAACATTCCGGGTAGGATAAAATTTGAAACACGAAATCATAAATTATAATTTTAATAAATAATCATAAAAAATAATTAATAATATAAAAAAATAATACATTTAATTTAATAATATAATCAAACCAAAAACATTGAAATTTGAAATAGAGCGCCAAATTCGCACATCACTGAGCAAAGTCGCAAAATCGTTTTCAGTGTTGATGACGAATTTCCCCACGAATCATAATCACTCAATTCTGCAAGTGGTTCTGATTTACTATCGCTGTTTCTAGCTGGTCTAAAAACCGCTTTTGACCTAAAGGAACGCTTTTTGGACGCCATGGACGTTTCTCAGTTTCCAAGAAAGAACAGTAAAAATGCAGACAGGGCGCAGGACAAAGCACTCGGGACAAAAATGTATGTGAAATGGTTTGATACAGGAATGTTTTACTATGTAAAATTAGTTTAGAAAAAAAATGACATTTTTTAAAATTTTCAAATTTCCCGCCGGTTCCGGCGCCCGTACGTCCCGACGTAACAGGAACCGGAACACAGAAGCCGGATGCCGTCATCGGCCGGAGGAGATGGCCGGGGACGCTGCAGGGGACACATCGTGGGAGCGAAGGACAAGGTAAGCTCTGCAGGGAATCCCTATGCAGCGCCGCATGGTAAGCCCGAGTGTAGCTCGGGGTTACAGCTTTTGGTACTGAAATTTTACCCCGAACTACACTCGGGAATACCGCCAGGAAGGTTAAAGAGGACTCTTTATATATATTTATGGACACATATTTTATGTGGATTTCCTATTATATTGATTTGATATGAATTTTCCCAGTTTAGTGATTTAATTTTCACCTTTTGATGGTTTTTTCTTGATATTTAAATAGTATTTGAGTTTTATTTTCTATTTCATATTTATGATATCTCACGC